TCAATTTTAAGGTGTGATAATTACTTTGCACAAGTGGCCGGTCTAAATTTATTGTACAATTAACCAGTTAATTGCGTAATATATGTACAGTAAAAGCTGCGCTATCCAGCATCTTACAAGCTGGCATGCTCTACTAACCGGCTTGTAAGATAAAGTGAGGTTTCTCTGAGTCCCCATGGCCAGGGGCAAAGCAGCCTGCGCTGCCAAGCCCCCATGGCCCAGGGGTATAACAGGCCGCATGGGGCCGTGCAGGGCCTGTCTCCCTGTCCCGCGGGGCCTGCAGGACCTGCGGGATGGGCGGCGATGCAGCAGGAGGGATGACGATGCTGTAGGAAGGGCAGACAAGCGGGAGAAGCAGCAGCTTCGGCTGCTCAATTAACCGGCATATTTTGTTATCCAGAATCCCCCATTCCTGAGGGATGCCAGATAACAGAGCTTTTACTGTAGTTGGGGCCCCAGAAATCAAAAGGTAGGAAATGCAAAGCTCAAATTAATGCAGATTCTTTTTGCCCTTCTGCATCACAGGAATCTTAAATGAGATGATGGGTTGCCTGAGACCTGTGTGTGTGAAGTTCATAACAAAAGATGTTCATGCAATTAACAAATTATGGCTCACAGATGCCTGGGGAGCATAGTTAAGGTTGCATATTCAGTCTGAACTTTGTTTTTTCATGTCTTTGGATTGCTTAACCATGCAGACAGCTTCGGTTCACTGTAGTTGGTCATTTAGGCTAGGGACAGACATTATACATAAACTGGTTTAAGTGATCACAACCTGGTTTAAACATGCAACAGAACAGATGTTCAGTGCACCTAAGCCAGTTAGAAAATGGCTGGGACTGGTTTGAGATAAACCAGGTTGAATGTAGTATCAGATTTAACTGCTTTGGGTCAAAATGATTTATGCAATGTCTGTCCCAGATCTTCTCCTGGTTTAACTTAAATCAGACTCGCCCAGCATCCTGGCATGCTCTCTGGGCTGGGCAGGGCTCTCTGCTCCATAGCAAGGCTGGCCCCTCCCCTCTGCTCCCTGGCTGAACCTTGGCAGAGACTTCAGATGTCTGCCTGGCTTCCCCCTGCTCCCCCACCTCTCCTCTCCTCCCCTCCGCTCCTCACTCCCTGCTAAGCAGCGATCCCCCATCCCCTTTGCTTTACACAGATGCGCAGCATTAGCTAGCAGACCACATACTGACTACCATCCATGCTGTGGCAGATGGGACAAAGACAGAATCAACAGGTAGCTGGTAATGTCCCTTGGTTGTTTTCTTAATGGGGTAATAAACACTGAGTTAGGGGTGATAAACACTGTGTTATCAATTCCCTGCTGGGCTGGTCGGAAAGGGAGGGAACTCTACCCTAATCAGAGCATCCTGCTGGAGATTGGCCATGCCCCCCTCAGCTCAGCACTATGGAAGGGAAGGGATGGCTGCTGTAGCACCCCCCAGTTTCTAGCTGAGACACTGCAGGCAATGTACCTGCATTTCTGGGATGTCTGTACAGTTACAAACTGATTCAGCCTAGCCAGGTTAGACTAACCTGCAAAGATTGAGTCAATTCAGGCTCAGGTTTTTTGAATGTCTGTCCCTAACCTTAGACTGAATATACTGCAACTTTGAAGTAAGCAGATTTTCAGCTCTGGTATATTTACACATCAGACTTTGTGAAAATGTTCTTTGTTAGTCCTTGGAGCTTAAATTTCTTTACAGATGGGCCTGGCTCATTCTTTCTGAAAGCTGAAAACCACCTAATGGAAAAGTTATCTGCTTGGGGAAATCCGTATTTCTTACCCTACCATCCCCAGGTAGGGTCTGTCAGCAAGGGTGTCTGGTGAACATAAATATCAGGTGGCCACCAGATCACCCCTGAGCCTGCACTTTTCCAGGCTGAAGAGTCCCATGACTCCCAGCCTGTCATCATAAGGTCTGTTTTCCTGACCTCTGATCATGCACGTGGCTCTCCTCTGCACTCTCTCAAACTTCTCCACTTCTCAAGCTTTCCCTTCCCTATTCTTTTTTTTACACTTGGCCAGTGTTGTTTTAGTGCTGCTATTGCATGTCATGAACT